CGCCCAGTAACACAGAGTAGCTTAGAAGAGTCAGTGACATTTTCCAGGCCACCGTCTGCTCTTCCTCACCCTCGAATACTGTATAGCGCTCCCCGTTAACATGATCGCCTGCTTCCGTCTCTGACGTACTTCCATCTATGCATTCATCGCCCTTAGTCCTCTATCTCCAAACTTCTGCTCATCATACTCCCGTAACCACAATCACTTTAGACATCCCAATAGCATTTCTATCTTGGTCTTCCTGGTTCCTTTTTGGTCTATTGTATGTGGACAGAGACGCTGCCTCCAGTCTGTCAAGACTGAAGTGACGTTAGGTCCCGAAGCGACTGGGCATATCAATCCGTGCGCAGCATTTCTGATCCTACTGATTGCGTCTCCCATTACTCCAGTGCTCGACAATTCGAAGGCTTCTGTTGCTCGTCCGCGCTAAGTGATGACCTGATGAGTGGTGCTTCCGGTGATGGCTCACGCCCTAGTGGTTCTGATAATTTTTGGCCATTGTAATCCCTGGCTCTATGCTTGCGGCACAACTTTCCTAACATCCAGTAAACGCAGCTTCGCAGCGACGAATCTCCTACAAAGTTCCTGTATTACTGCATACATAAAAGCGGCCTCATCGGCCCGTTCTCCTTGATCCTCCTCGGTCGAGACTTGACCGCCCCTCCCTCTACAAATTTCAACGTAGTGTCCCCGTTGTCTTTTCTGGTCCGTTCCCCCTGTTGACTCTGCTGTCCAGCATCTACTATTAACTGACAGTATCTGCGGCACTCTACGCATAACTCGTTCCAAAGTCTTTGACTTCCAACGGTGCTGCTGCATCCTTTCAACCAAAGATCGCTCGGGGTCGTTTCTTTTTTTTTCCTTTTGGCATGCTGGCTAAGAAGAAGCCCGAGGCTTCTTTGGGCTGTACCACAATGCCCCGGTGAAGATTCTGTGAAAGCCCCACCAAGCGATCATCATGATCTCTTGTTTTTGGCCAGATGAACCAAAAAGTCTCGCCTATTCGTAACAAAGAGCCTCGAGGCGTTTTCCTAGGGGAACTTTTCAATCCTCCATATTTGCCCCGGTATACCGAGGAATTGCCAATAGTGCAATGCAAGACGCTTTAAATGCTTTCAGCGCGGCACTGAGTATCTCTGATTTCTCACTCTAGAAGCTATGTCTCTGTGATGTTCAAGAACTCCTGCATACCACTCCCGTCTTCGTGTACGAGGCACTGACAAGAAAATGGGCTCGTTGCATTTGCTCTCATCCCAACCAGTTGCCTCTTTCGATGTTACCTCCAGCTGTGAGTAGGCAATAACTTGAAATTGATCCTACCTTAAACATGCAGTGAAATCACATAATATTAGACGCCGGTTCTCCAGCGGTGTAAAAGTTTTGGGAAGAGAATTTTGTAAGCTGATTCAAACAGATCAATATCGTCCCTTTAGGTTTTTGTAAAACCCGTGTTGACTCCATGGCTTACCCGGATCAACCCTTGCACCTACATGCAAAGACCCTATTTCGGAGAGGCACTGCCGCGGAAGGCGGTGGGCAGACAAGTAAAGCGGCAGGGCTGCGACATGTCCAGGCAGCAGCACACGAATGCAGAAGCAGAAGAAACTTCAAAGCCGCAATCCTCAGGTGACAACCAACATGCACACACAGAAGCACAGACACACGAGAGAAAAGCGAAATTGTCACGTGCGTGAGGTTACAGGCCAATTTTCACAAGTGCCACAGAGTGGCGCCTGTTTGTCGCACCAAGGCGCCGAACGGAATTGCAGAAAAGGCCAAAAGGTTTCTGGAAGGTGTCGGCCCGTAAAGCATACTTCGTACAACACCTGTGCCACGCAGAGGCCTGCAGCACCATACCCGTAGGTTGACGTCATGCCTACTGCTCCCTTGCACTGTCCGCGAAGGGTACTTTCTTGCTTCTTTTTATGAGCGTTCTTGAGGGTGCCGCGCTAGCCGCGGCGTATAAAGCTGTAAGTAAACAAGCCTCTGACTTTAGGCCTTACGTAGTAAAGAGAGCTGAAAACGCACCTGCCATACCAAGGCGATCGTGGTGGAGTCTTGCGTGGGCCAGGATCGCGCGTCAATGTCGAGGCTCCTTTGCATCAACCCACGCCATCCGATGAAGTGTCTCGTACCGTGCGTGCTGAGAGCAACAACACATAAAATCTGAGGTCTTGGAGTATGCGCGCTGAGCGCTATGGCGGCGCGAGTGCAGCCTACTGAAAGGATTTGACAAAAGCGTGCACACACGCTCTGAAGCACTGCGCCAGAAAAAGGCTGCTTGATCTCAGGAGAGCATGCGCCTGCATGTGGCCAGCCCCCATCACCGGGTAATGGTGTACGACTAGGATATACAAACACAAACTCAAACAAACAATCCTGCCGGCACGCTTCTGAGCAGAAGACCGCCTCGCACCCAGGCTCCCCACAAGTCAACACCGGCCCAAGTACCAGCCCCTGCAAATCATTTAGAAGCAACACACAAACCCAAAGCCATAAACGCCCAAAAATCTGCTGTGTGCATTCTGCCCACCCAAGGCTGACAGCTGCAGCTGCCTTCTTGTAAGAAATCCGCACTCCTTGTGCAACAGCACATAGCAACCAAACGAAGGCCGCTGGGCACACGCTTGTTTAGGGACGGAGAGGTAGCACAGACATGCTTTTCGATAAAGACGTCCGAAAGCGTGTCCAGACGCGCAACAGAAGAAATGTTTACAGTGCTGCAGTGAACGCAAAGGCGCAAACCGCAAGGCGTGTACAGAGAGGGAGAGAGAGAAACTGAAGGATAGACAGAGAGGTAGGGAGAGAGAGACACATACAGAGAGAGGAAGAGATGCATGCTCTAAGCACGGGATTCAATTGCTAATCCGACGGCACTGGCTGTTTCTTCCGGCCTAAGAACTCAAGCCTGTGCGTTCTGTTTTGCGCGGCAAGACTCGCGTGCTTAAGATGTATAAAGCTTGCTCGTTGGCTTTGGGTAGCGAACTTGGTGAGGAACTGACGTGTAGCGTCCTTGAGAGACCCTACAAAGCGAAGTCAGTTGCTGCTCTCAACCCGCAGAGCCTGCGCAGATGCATCTCAGCAGCGCTTTCCACTGCCCTGGAGCCTCAGGCAAGAACTCAGTGGGACCCATAGGCCCCAACCTCCAAGCCGCCGTACGCAAGCCAGCTCCTGCTTAGTGCCGCCCAATTCCAAGATTAATTAACTGCATGCAGAATCCAAGCTGCTCCCCGTGAAACCTTGTGCTGCACAACGAGCAATGGACTGTCCTCAGTGTAGATGACCTGTGTTGCGGAGACATAGTCGCAGACACCTCAAAAAGCCTCCAAAAGTAAGAGCAGTCGACTGCTCAGCAGACCGCTTTCTGGAATAAGGCTGCCAGCCATATTCGTTGGCACGACGAAAATACAAGCTGCCCTCGAGAAAACGCTAATTTCTCACAGACTGCAAGCCGGGCTATCTCCTGAATTACCTTTCTGGCTTCAGGAGCCTCTAGGCAAGTGCATCAAGCTGCCGGTAACTGCATGGAAGCCTGAAACGCCTCAGAGGCTCGCATGGGGTCATACAAGCCACATAGCTAGTCGTCGTTGTCGTATGTAGCAGCACACACCTATGGTTTGCTGCTTGTCACTAATCTGAGCCATAGCTGCTTCGTGATAGCGCTTATCTCCGCCGTGCCAATCAACTATGAAGCCACAAGGCCCCGACCTCTTTTAGCTCCTAAAAATTCTACTCTAACGCAAGACCTCTGCGGGAACACCTGCCGCTGTTTCGCCTGATGTCTCATCATTCTGGGGGCTCCTACTGCTACTGCAATGTACCTCCAGGTAGAAGGCGTAATGATACAGCCCGCATGAAGGCGCTAGGGAGCCTCTTTTGGCCCCCAGCTAATTCACGGACCTCGCAGCCAGGCGGTTTTCCGACCCTAAATGCTGTATCCTGCGACTCCAAAATATACGTGACGAATTGGGGCTGGAGACAAGAGCAGGGACCGCAGAATAGGGCACTTAGCTTTCGATTGTAAGCATAGGGCGCTTAAAATATGACGCAGCGCAAGTCCTGGTCTGGAAAAGGCTCCCTTCTCCTAGGTGTTCCTCATGAAGGGTATGTGTTCAAGGTCCTAGCGTTACACGCAAAGCATCTTCGGCAATGTAGAAAATGCTTCTTCACTTTCTGAAGCGCATTACTGCCTTCAAAAACCTCTGCGGTCATGCGGGGCCCCCGGTTGGGGCCCCCTTTCCGGGGGGCCTGCACAGTGGTCAGGGAGACCAAGGGGTAAGGCACTACTGCGAGACGCAATAATCTACACACTCCCAAAGAACAAATACCTGTGTCCTGAATAGATCCAATAAATAGCGCCGACACGCAGACAGAAAGTCGTGCTACTGAATGCACTGGTTGTTGCGATGTGCATACAGCTGCTCGGCCCGCAGCGGCCTCAGCAGCCGAGGGGTGTGAAGCCCGCTATTATCAGTGTAATTCAGTGATCCAAGTGCACGTTCTTTAAACATACGGCTGGGAGAATGTGTTTTTATTGCTTAGTGGCCGACCGGGGCTTTAACCTCCACTTTCTAGACTCATTGTCTTCAGCACAAGAGTCCCAGTGGTCCTGACTGGTGCGTGCCTTTTGAGATTCCTTTCCTTTTCAGCTTCCCTAAGTATAAGCTCCTCGTAGCGCGAATACGTTTTATGTCATCTTAGTCTGAAACAGTTTGTAGGTGATTTGTCGCCCTCCATTTCGCGAAACCCTAAAAATATCCCAACCCGCACACACGCAGCCCTGAAGTTCTGTCTTCTGCAGAGCAGCCTGTGCTGTTTGTAGCGCTGCACTTTCAACATCTGTTGCGCAGCACTTGTCTCGTGGGAAAGTAGGCTCTCGCGTCTCCCCGAGGCTTGCGCTGTTCAGACAATACCGCCGGCACTCCTATCTATGGCCCTTCTTCCCTAGTTGCGAAGACCCTGCACCGTTCAAGCCTTCTTGTGCGCTTTGCGAGCGAAAAATGGAGGGCGACCCTGAGTTTCTCTCTCACTTGCAGCAGTTGGGCTCAGAATATAAGCGCCTTAGGGAGCAGCGGGCCGCTGCTCAGGAGCTTGCTGACGCTTTGGACGCTAGAAACAGTCAATTGGTGAAGGCACATGATGAGCTAGCTAGGCAGCGCGTGGATCTGCTGAATGAAAACAGGACCTTAATAGAAAAGCTTCAGATGACGACTCAGGAGAAGGAGGCGCTTCACCAGCAACTTAAACAACAGGAGGAGCACATCCAGACCGTCCAGCAGCAGCTATCAAGGCAGCAGGCCGCAATTGCTGATGCAGGAGCACAGCACGAAGCCGAAGTTTGCAGACTGCAGCAGAGTATCGACAAGGCAGCGGCGGCGGCCGCCGCTGCAGAGAAGGAGCTCAAGCAGACTCAGCACGCTGCGGCAGCGTACAAAACTGAGGCAGAGGACGTGCACAAGAAGCTCATGGACACCAATAACAAGCTTAAAGAGGTAACTAAGACACCCTTCGTAGCACTGCAAGATGCCTCGCCAAGAATTTCCTGGCTCCTTTCAAACGATCCTGATTTGCAGTCTGGGATGTATATTTTCGGCGCCTCGTGCTTCAGGAAAACAAAGAACTTGCAGACCTCACCAAGGAGCTGAACGAGCGTAATCGCAGCCTCAACAAGAAGCGGCAGGATCTCTCTGATCAGGCAAGACATCTCGTAATAATTTCCCTTATTGGCGAATTGTAGCCTTTAGCTGTAACACACAAGCTTCCTATGAGGACCACTCCTGAAGTTTACGTTGCTTCGGGGGGGAGGAGGGAGGGGACAAGCGCCGCATGCGCCGCTACGTCCGCAGAATGCAGTCCTGTCTTTGCCCAGGCTAAACATATCTTCTTCCAGTGCTTCTCCTAATAACCCATTGGTCAGGAGCAGCCCAGTGCAGCTTTCCCTAACGGCATTTGATGATGGCTGCGCTTGCGCGCATCAGACCGCGTGTCGTACGCTGTGCAGCCGCTAGCAGTACTGCTCTGTTTAGACGTTTGGAGGGGCTCTCGTGCAACGCCTTCGATTCGAACTTCGCATGTATATGGCTTCTGTGACTATGCATGCATTCCGCATCAAGAAGCTTATAGTGTGTTCTTGAGCCGTTTTCGCTTTTAGCGCCTTCTAAGAAACAGCCGCTCTTCATACACCTATGGAAGCATCCGTACGCTTATTTCTGGATGTACGGCGATAGAAGTTACAAATGACGGCATACATGTGTCTAGCTTTCTAAGCAAGAGGCTTCTGCGGAGGCAGCGTCCAGCTTTTCTGAAGAGTTAATGCAAGGAGGCTCCAGCTTGGAAATTCTGCCTCCATCCTGCATGCTGCGGTGGAATATACGAGAACAGTCAAAGACCTGATGCTGCCTTGTGTGGGATAGACGCTGCTTTCTTCTACCTTCTCCAAGCATGATGGGCTCGATGCTGTCTGAGCAGCTTTTCCTAGAAAATGTGATGCGTCTGTGTCTGCTGTATGTACAGGTGAAGCAGCTACAGACGGCGCACCGGCGCAGCAGCGAGGAGCAGCAGCAGCAGCAGCAGCAAGCGCAGCAGCAGCTGGAGGAGCTGCGTGCGCTGAAGCAAGCCAATCGATCTCTTCTTGCCAAAAGCAAGCAGCAGCAGGAGGAGCGGCAAGAGACCCTGCGCCAGCTGCGCCAGCAGCTGCAGGAATTGCAGCAGGAGCAAGTGCAGCAGCAGCTGCTGCTGGAAAAGCGCACACAGGAAACGGCCGCTGCAGAAGCTCAGCTGCAGCTGCAGCAGCAGACTGCTGCAGCTCAGCAGGAACTGCTACAGCAGCAAATAGAGCAGCAGCAGCAACAACTAAGGGCTGCCCTTGCCGCAACCACCAAAGCTTCGGACAACCTGAAAACTCAAAAAGCCCGTGCTGCAGAAGACAAGGAGCACTACGAGATGCAGCTGCAGCAGCTGCAGCAAGTGCAGCAACAAACGGCAGCAGCGGCAGCAGAGGCCAGCAAAGAACAACAGGATGCGCTCCGCAAGGTTGAGGCGCTCTGCAACGAGAGGCAACGCGCCTATGAGCACCTGGAACCATTGGTGCTGCAGGGAATACAGCGCTGCAGCAGCAGCTGGCGTAGCAGCGGCGAGCACGAAGAGGAAGAACAAGATCAGGACGGCGGCGTTCTAGCAGCGGCAGCAAAGCGAGCTGCTGCGGCCTACAAGCAGCTACAGGAGGCACACGAGAGCGCCTGCAGGGAAGGAGCCCTTTTGCAGCAGCAGCTGCAGATGCTGCAGCAGCAGCAGCACAGGCTGCAGCGCGAGCTTCGGATGGCCGCAGAGGAGACGCAGGCGGCCTCTAGGGAGAAGCAGGAGCTAGCAGCTCACTACATGGCCCTTGCACAGGTATACTGCAATTCGGAGTGCAGGGTGGGCCAGCCTAGAGGGTCTTGATGGGCCTCGGCCAAAACCCTTGCGTTCCCTGACAAGTGTAGACAGAGAAGGGACTGCGCGCCGCGGCAGGATAAGGATGGGGAGTTGCATCTCTCGCTCTTCCCTGCCCACGTACGCAGCACGCTTCACCTAGGGACATGCTGATTGCGGTTTAAGATGTAGCGCTGTGTTGTAGAGTTTGTGTGCTTGCCCCTTGCAGAGTGTGCAGCAGCTGGCGCGCGAGAGCGAGGCTGTCGGGACGTCCTGCTGCATGCTGGGTGGCCTTGAGGCGAAGAAATCTCCCCGTGCTGCTATACTGCAGCCCCTTAGATTGACCACACAACACAGCCCTCAGCCGCAGGCTGCGACGGAATGGACCCCCCTTACCGCAAGGGCGTCCACTGCGGACAGCTTCACCCTGCCCTCTCCAAATGACAAAAACTGACGGCCCCCGACATATCTGTTTGAACCAAGTAGATCGAGAGACATCTACAAATCTCCATGCTGCTATTGGCGGCGCCTTCTCTGCTGTCACTAATGCTGCTGCTAGCGCAGGTGTCTCTGCAGCAGCAGCTACATGGGCCCTCTGCTGCAGGGGCAAGCAAGCACGAGGTCTTCGCACGTCACCAACGCGAGGAGGAGGCTGTCGTGCAGACAGGCACAGAAACGCCCTAACAGTAGGCCCGCGTGGTTGAGCGGGCCGCCCAGAGAGCACGAAGCCTCACGATGGGCTGGCCCCCGCCGAATTAGCACAGCTCTGCTCTAATGAACTCCTTCCATGTCCTGCCTTAGCTGGCAAGACTCTTAGTACCTATAGCTAGCTTTTTGTTATTTTGTAGCTTTCCACCCCTGGGGGGCGGCCAGCCAAATCCTTGGCTAATTTGGGCAACCCAAGTCATTGGGGTCGGCGACGGTGCAGCAGGTGCCCCACACAGCCTAACTAATTTCAAAGCGCCAAAACATTAGGTGGTTGGCGTGGCATCAATCTGGATGGAACCGCTTTTGCGCGGTGCTAAGGGAATGACAGGGCTTCCCCTTCTCAGCCAATAGAGCGGCATAAAGGGGGGGCGAGGGGCCCTTCGATACGTCTCCTTAGCAGGGGCAGCTGCAGGGAAAAGACTCAGGTCCTTGAATCTTTCGGTTGCAGCCTCTTAAGGAGCAACCTACACCAATGAGGGCCGGCTGGGCTGCCAACGTCCTCCTTTCCCAAGAGGTGCCCAGCTACACTTAGCTGATGCCTCCTCAGCCTCCCCTTCGTGGCTAGCTGCACGCGGCTAGCCAACAGATTTCCCCTCTGTTGCGCACTACTGCGCCCAGACCTACAGCAACGTGTTAGGTAACGCGCAGTTTTATCGAGCGACCTTGCCTTGCAAAGGCACCTGGCTCGGCGGTCGGGTCTACTGCTGAACACTCTGCACAGTAGGCGTTGTTCGCACTGACAAAGCCGCTTTGGCACCTGGTCATTTCTTTTTGAGTGCCTCGCATTCGACCTTGTGCCGAGGTTCGTTGTGTTGCACTCTCGATCGCTCATTCGCTAGGACTTGAGGATCTCTGAGCAGCACGCGGCGGAAGCGGCGATCCGAGAGGGGACTCTTCACCACTATCGTGTGGCGTTATATTCGTGAAACCGGAGAAAACAGCTTCTGCAGAAGGTACATCTGTTCTCTCCTCGTCAAGCAACCACTGCTCTCTCTCTGTGTCTTCACTCTCGCGGTCATCGTCCTGGTCCTCGGTGTGGTACTCTTTGGCTACTATGGCATTCATTGCCACTTGATCGCGGCCTAATAGCAGAAGCATGCACAAATAGGTATACATATATATGCAAATACATAACATATATATACGCATACATACGTAAATATATATGCATGTATGTACATTTATACATACATATACACATATACATCTATTTACGTATGTACAAATACACATAATATACACATACCCGTCATAGAAGGTGGACACAAACACACTTCCAGCAAAAAGCCCACAAGGAACAGTATTGAAAACGCGTAGAAGTAGACATTTCGAAGGGTCTTGCGTTTTAAATGTGTCTGCGTGCGTAGAAGTTTGTGTCTGAGAATCTATGTTTGTATATCTGTGTGCAGGATGCACTCACCGTAAGTGAGGTGCAACAAGCCGTAAAGCAGGAAGGAGATACTCCAGGGGATAACGGTGAGGAAGACGAGGGCGTTGGCAAGGGCGTTGGCATTTCCCATGCGAAGCTGCTCTGGCATTTCCGCAACTAATAGGGTCGTCCGCACATACCCGAACGAATGCTCTGCCAAATAGCCCACGAGAGGCGCACCCAAGATCGCTGCCCCACTGCCCTCAACTGCGACGGTCTGCATCCAGGGCGGAAGCAGGCCACAGAACAATGAACAAATACGCGATGACAGCTATATGTGGCCTCCCTAGTAAAGGAAGCTACGTTTACAGGCGGGGTGCAGAGCCGCAAACCGCGAGTTTAGCTTGCGCGAGATACCTTCGTCACTCAGGAAGTCACTCTTGTTTGCCTGCAACTCGTTGAGAGCCTCGGTAAGGCGCTCTTCACGAGATTCGAAGAAAAGGACCTACCAGTGCGAAGACGGTTGCCTTGTGGTTGGGCCTGACAACATCTGCAAGAATCGGTCGGTTAACGGCAACGCCCGCCATCGAGGATAGGCCAATAATGAGCGCCAAGATCATGAAAACCGCAAAGGCGGTTTCCTCCTTGGGAACCACCAAGTACGCAACCACCAACACGGGAACCCGAACCGCCATCGCGAACTGACCTGCAAAGGGTAAGTGGGGGGAAGAAAGATGTGCATATGCCACAGGGGAAAGGGGGAGGGGCGGCAGGAAAACGCGGAAACTAATCACAACAAGAGAGAGAAAGGAACCCCACATCAAGAAAGCCTTTAAAAGCTTTGAAATTGCACACGGCTATAATCTGGAAGGAGGCTGGCTTACGTCAGCAACGCAGTACTATCAAAGGCAAAGCAAGAGAGGGACATTTGAGAGATCGTACATACTACACCTGCCGGCAGGTTTGCAAGTATGCATGCATGCATGCATGCAGCCTACAAAGACGCTTAGAGACAGCACGCATAGTGGCATCCTAGAGAATCGGCGTGGCCTCAATAAAGCGTATATTGCGATTCCTGCTTCCCAGAACTTACCAACAAGAGGCCGTCCGTGTCCAGGGGACCAATGGAAGAGCCGATCGCCAAGAAGGCCTCCGAGTACCCCCCCGACAGCGGAGCCGATGAGAAGCGCCCCCATAATGTACGCTGCCTTGAGGTCAGACATGTTGCAGTATTGGAAAAACATAGTGTTAAAGCTAAACGCTGACCAGGGAATCGTACCCACAAGACCCTGCGCATGGCATTCCACACGCACGGTAGCAGCAAGGGCCGCCATCAACAAACAAAAATGTTTTCACGCGCGTATGCAAGTCGCCTGGGCTCGCGCCGCAGCATTTTCCCTTATCCATCATCCACGTAGCAGCAGTTGCGCAGAATGAGGCGCTGCGTCCATCTGGACCCCAGCACACACAGCCTTTGCCCCCTCGAGTCAAGCTTAGGAAGCACTTATGGCCCCCTACGCCATAGAAGGCCCCTACAGGAAACCTACACTAATCCCCCTCCCCTGGTGTTAGGCTCTCAAAAAAGGTGCTCTACATAAGACCCTGCGAAAGACGTCGTGCGTGTGTGTGTATGTCTGTGGTTCTTTTGTGTTTGCGTTTACGTATGCATGTGTTTTTGTGTTTTGTGTTTGGCTTTCATGTTTATATATGTATGTGTTTAGGTCTACATGCTTATGTATGTGCATGTTTGTGTATGTGTGTTTATGGATGTTTGTGTTTACGTATGTGTAAGTGTGCGTGTGAGTTTTGGGGTCTGTATGTGTGTGTGCGGATCCTAGAGGTATATACCTCTACAAGAACGATAAGAACACTGGGCGTGGCGAGCGACTTAGTGAGAACGTCCTTGAGGAATGTTGACCAGTTGTCTGAGATGTGGGAATCAGAGCCGGTGCCACCAGATTCGTCTCCTTTGGGCCGCAGCAGCCGCCTCCGGGGAATCTCCTCCAAGACAAAGGCGATGACGACACCCAAAAATGCGCTCAGAGCTCCCACGCAAATGAAGCAGGCTCGCCAGCCCTGCAGTCAAGCAAAAGGAAGCAACTGGAAGCTGGAATGACGGCATAAAGATGATGAAGCGGCAACACCATTGCCCAAATAGCCCCTCAAAAGGCGCGTAGGGCCTTACAGAGCCCAAAAATGTGGCCCTACCCCACCCCCACACACAAAGCTACAACACATAAGCTCCGCACACAACAGCACAGCCTCTGCCGAGCGAAAGGTGCATATGCATGACAAACGTGAACCTTCAACTTTCCCAGAAAAAAGAAACCTTTAGTATCCTCGCGCGCGCCCTCCACGGCACACCAGTGCGCCCCCCTCTCTCCCTTTGATGCATATTCCGCTCCCACAATGTGTACGTGTGTTTGTATGCTTGGTTGTATGCCTGGTTGTATGTGTGGTTCTGTGTGTGTGGCCGTCTTCCAGCGTCTCCAACTGTATCCCTGGAAGAAAGGCATCACAGGACGTTAGTTGACGCTGAAAAAAGGCGAGCAAGGCCTTGCCAGCCCAGCTCACCTTGAGCGCTCCAATTTGAATCTGGGCGACGGTAGTGGTAACAACCCCACCCACAAGTCGGCCCATGCTGGTGCAGAGTTGCACCAATCCAAAGGAGAATCCGAGGCTACGACGCCGAGAGGTGTCTGCCAAGATACTCTGGGAAACAGGACCGACACTCCCTAAGAAGACCCCGTTCAACGCGCGTAGCAAGGCGACCTACGCACAAACACACGCCCCGTACCACACGCTCCACCGTTGATGGAGAGTCTCCGCCACCCCGCTTGCCCCCTACCCTCTAAGCCCTCATAACAAAGTGCAAATGTCTGCAGCCACACTACCCCTGCGTTGTTTATCGTCGTTTGCAACGATTTCCACTGTTACACACCGCCCGAAAGCACTCGAATATGCCCAAGTAGGGCCACGATTCCGCGTTGTAGCTAAGAGGCCGCGCATGCAGTGAGTGCCTGAGGGTGTTCAGCATGTGAAAACGCGTGAGGGTGTGATCTGTCCGTTTTCCCGACCTGCCAGAATTCCGAAACCAATCCGAGGGCGGTGGTGATGAGGCCCCAGGCTGTTGTCCCAAAGACAAGCAGCCACTTCCTGGAGTGTCTGTCCGCCAAGTAGCCCCAAAGTGGGCAAAAGAGAGAGAGGCATAAAGTTTGGGAGAGCGTAATATAGCCCAGCAAGGAGGGGTGGAAGCCTAAATCACTCTCTAAGGCTCTGAACGTGGCAGGCAGCAGCTGGTCATCACAGCCGTCCAAAGCAGATGATATATTCACCACCACAACTGAGCGTACTTGTAACGAACTGCCACTCTGCTGTCTCTGTTTCTGCAACTCGCTGCGCTTGCTCGCCTTCTCGTCACGCCCTCTCTCTCCCCTCTGCTTTATAGACCCCCCCTCAGGAGCAGAGTCCGAGGGAGACTCACTGCACAGCTCGTCACTGCCAACCACCTCCCATGTGGGTTTATAGTCAATGAAAGGCTCGGACGCCATTGCAAAGCCGCTTCGCCAAAACAACCCGAGTGCAAGTTGTGCTGCCGCCCCTCTCCCCTCTTGCTGGTCGTTGAACCCTAGAGCTGAGCAAAGCTCTTGAGGGCTGCGGCACTTCTGGTCCTGCTGCTTCTGCAACTGGTTGCTGAAGGTACACCTAACGGAGCTGCGGTGTCTGTTTAGATTGCTGCTCTGGGCACTGTTGTTACACCAACTGCCGTTGACGCTGAGATTTCAGTATGGCGAGGCGTGACTACGCTCGGCTTCCTCCAGGCGTGACGCCCCTTACCTCAACCTTCCTTAGGCACCTTGTCTAGGCAACAAAGAGATAGAAAGTTCAACTGGCACCCTCAATGGAACGAACTGGGGGTATTGTAACTGGGATCCTCGGAAATCGAGAGCCTTCCAAGGCACAGAGAAAGGGCCGCCTCTATGCAATTCCAGGGCGTGCGTTCATTTCGGATGTGCGAAAACAGATGAATCATCAGGAAAAACAGAGGAAATGACAAGGAAGTTTAGGAGGAAAACCAGCACCTACCCCAGACTAGCCACCGCCGATGGTGGCAGGGCAGCAGCAGCCAGAGTAACGGGTAGGTGCGTTGTTAACATGAAAAGAGCACTCAGCAAACCCAAAGTAGCTCAAAATTAAGAAACATCAGGAAATGTGGCCTAACAAGAGGCGGCGTCGCCCCTATGCTCAGCGACACTTTGCGGCTGTACAGAGTCCAGCCCGTCGATGCTTTGATGGATGAAACACTTCCTAGACTTCCAGCAAGCCCCAAAACCTGTTTCTGCCAATAACACAGAAAGTGATGCCAGAATGATTGCACATTAGGCCTACTTTAGCCCCAAATTATCCCTTTGACGCCTACAGCCGCCCCCACGCGGAACGGCTGTTCCGCTTCAGATTGCAGCAGCGCTGAAGTCGGTTTTTGCCCCATGCAGTTAACCCAATAACAGCTAATTACCTCATTGATACTCCGAGAAAGCATCCAGAAATACCCGACGCTCACTCCTACGCGGTCCTGTATAACCTGCTCTTCTCCCGCGCCAGACTGCTCGAACCAGTATCAATCGTAGGGCAGCTCCTTTGTTATCCTCCTGTCATCCACAACTAGCCAAGATAAAAATGACACCCAAACTCAGGACATACTGCTACTCTGATTGCGGATGCCAGGGCATCTCAACTCACCTGCGCTGTGGTCCTACAGAGTCTTAGCCTCCGAGGCAGTGTAACTACTGGCTATAGAGGCTAGAGAGAAAAAGCCCTTGAGAGAGCCAGAAAAAGAAATAAAATCCCCCAAAATTCTTGAATGGAGGAACGTCGAATCGATGTGCTGCTTAGTTAACGCCACTCCGGTACTGAGCTCTGCGAAAAGGCATAAAGAAAGCAGTCTGGTAGGTAGGGTTCTAGCTCTCTCAGCGTGACACGTGTCATGTCTCGCATCTCTCGTTATTGGTTGGCTTCTAAGCTTGCGAGCATGCGCAGCTGAATATTAAACACGTTTTCAGAAGACCGCAAGAGAGCAGCTCTTGGAGGAGCCTGCCACACCAACCATGTGCGCTGCGAAGCGCAATCCTTAGAAAATATTCAGACACAAGCCTATAGTGACCTGTTCTATCGAACGGAAGAGCTGTATGGATTCTGTGGGCTTGGGTGCCCTTGTGCTTGGCAACAGGAGTGCTGTAGGGCCTGTGCTGAACTTTCCTCTCGCCTGTGTTTCGCGATAGGGACAATGTTTCATCAGTCCGTAGCGAGTGTACTCTGCAATAACGCTCGTCCAGATTCTTTTTTCGCAAATATAAGAGCACGACGGGGTATCTGGACCGCTTCTCCCTTCCATCAGTCGACGCCTGCAAAGTTGCCTCTTCGGATTACAGTCTCGGTCATTGGAGTATGCAGTAGCTCAGGAATATGTGAGCGCAGGTAAGAGCTCCCCATTTGCTGGCTTACCACACTGCACAGAGCTGCTTTGGGGGCCCAAGCACCGCATACTAAAGTGGAATCGATGGACTTGCCAGCACCTGGCCCTTCGTCCGCATTTGTGAGCTTGACAGAGCTGATGGAACCGCTTGTGGCTCAACAAGGATATACACACACTGGAACTGTGGCCAGAAAAATTCTAACAAAACTTGACAAAGTATAGTGGCAGCACGTTTCCTAGGCTAGTGCATGTCCTGTGCCATTTGAGTTGCCCCAAGCTATGCAACCACGTGGCTGCGACTGTAGACAGAGAGCCGATCTTGTCACCGTGCTCACGGATGAAATCAGTATTGAGAGTGTGGTTTCGCGGCACGCCAGGCGAGCGCTGTACTTGGATTGCATCGTCAAGTGCAATGGTGGCACACTGTGTCTACCGTTCCGCTAGGAAGAGGGCATGTGTTTGACGTGCTGCTCAATATTGCAGCCGCCCCCCGTACTTTCCTTTACCCCGCAGTGGCTACGGCTGGCAAACGGCTGCGGCACATGCATACAGTAAATATTTTTTCCGACTTCCAAATGCATGTGGCGTGCACAAGGGGAAGCTGCAGATGCAACCGTTCGATCACAAAAATGATGCTTGTGCGGAGAGTATTTCGGTTATATAGCTGTGCCGTATGACCTTTTTCATGACTTGACGGAAGATAGCCACGCGACACACGCGAGTGCTGATACATACGTGTTACCCACCTCTGCATGATGCATCAGGCCACAACGGTATGTGGTGGATGGTGATTTCCTCGTGCGCGTTTGTTTCATAGCTTTTAAGAAGGCAGAACACACTTCAGAGTATTGAAGAGGGCTCAGCAAATGCGAAGTGGGTTGCCTTTGTGGGCCATCTGCTTGTAGCAATTGACTTGAGCTCACCATAAGCACCACGCCCCCAGAATGCATTTCATCAAGCTACATTTTTGCAAGTTAAAACACCCATTTGGTATCTTCAGGAGCTTCAGGACGATGTTTGTATGCATCAAAAATGGATTGAAGTCTCTTCATGGCAGTCCTCGCCTTATGCTTTTCTGGGTCAACGTGTGTGATAGACGCTGTAACTTGTACTACGGTCCATATTTCGCTCACCTTAAACACCTCATACAAACTTTATCTGTCATGGGCCCCCTGATAGGCTACTTGCTGCTGAAGCCTCCATCGTGCACCATGCACGCGCTAACGTGTATACAAAGCAAAAATGAAATGCTGCCAACCTCCTTAGTAATACTACGTTGATTATCTGAGCAAAGAACTTTCTGGTTATTTGGCCTACGCGCGAAGTCCACTACTTTGCAAATACGGATAACCTGTTAGCTAGCACCTCTATAACCTCGATTCTCGTGTCAAACGTAAGCACTCCTTTGGGAGTGGCTCAAATATTTGTGTGGGTGATGCGCCTTATACAATAGCCGTAAGCCCAGAAAATGACTGGCCACTGAGCCTAATGAATCTGCCAAAATGGGAGGCAATAGATTCGGTTGCGCGTAGACGGAACCTGGTAGGCTGCTTGTGTTGGGAAACTTGTTTGATGGTGTTCAATAGACGCGCCTTAAATACGATCATGTAGGTCTCTAGGGAGGCGGGGGGCATCTCTACCGAGCGCGATTCTAAGTTGAATCCCTGAACGGTTTTAAATGACAATTGATCGCGGTTGACGCTTGCATGCAGAGGTGTGGCTATTTAGCAAGGCGGAAACATTCTTTATACTTTGTCGTGTATACCCTTTAGCATCAGCTGTGTTAAACTCTGCACACGCTAGACACACAGCGAGGTATCTGATAAACTTGGATCCACGTGCGATCACCGCAGTACTGTATGCTTCGGAACATCTGAAGAGAACGAAATCAGCTGCGAGACGTAGACTGCCTGGTCATGAGACTTCTATTTGTGTTCTGAGTATTTTCCACCCTGAATGAGACAGAACTTCATCCTTAATGCATCCACCAGTGCTGGTAGACGCACTGTGACATCTTCTGCCATTTCTGAGGTGTCATCACTGTGAATTATGCAGCACGCTGTCCCAAGATTCGCCACATTATAACGGTAGCTCAGTGTTAGCTGCCCCCGTTGCTCAAGTGGAGCAGTCATAAAAACTGTCGGAGAGAACAACACTCGGCAAAGATGTGTGGTAGACTGGGAAGTTTGACGGAAAGTGTCATTCATGTTGTAGTGTTGCCAAGCATCCGAAGGCCTCATCGACAGGGCCTAGCAGCCCATAATTCAAGAATCTTCATCCAAGGCCACACAGCTATTTTTGATTCCGGACCAGGCTGACTGAATCGTATGGAGGTTGATATCGTTGCTTCATGACGTCCCTTAGCAAACCCTGAGGTCGCATGGTCCTTCCCAATTTCTGGAGACGTGGACTGTCCTGTAGTGCTACAGTAGGAGGTGCTTTTGGACCAGGTGGAGCATAGAATGCCTCATCAAGGGGACGAAGCCTCCAGGCTCGCCCAAACCTTCCATGGTAGAGGATTTTAAAGAAGGCAATGCAACCTACGGAGATGTATGCTCTGAACGCAAATGCGATGGTCGGGTTGGGTAGAAAGTACCATTTGTCCACAAAGATAGTGGTGTCCTCAGCTTTGAGCGCAGAGCAAAGTGGCTTGCCCGCTGGGTGTGCACCATGTTCCAGCAAGTAAGCGGGCATGGTAGCAACACAGGAGGATGTTGCACATACATTCATGGTGATTAAAGGCAATTCCCTGCAAGCAGTGCACCCATCGTGCATGCTGGTTGGTGCAGGGTTGAAAATTAACTTAAGCGAAAGGGGATGTCCTTGTGTTTTGGTGGAACCCGCTGCTACTAACATTAGATGAGCTATCTGCCGGTTTATGTGACCTTCAGAGAGATACGCATACGATCGATCAGATAATCCATCCTCTGGTAAGCATTCTTCTACACTGCGTGCAGGTAGAACAAAGAAACACATTCACTCTCCCTACAGCAAAATCGAATTGTACGAGCCCGCACTGTACGCTGTGGTGGAAGTGTGGATTTCTCAAAGCTACAAGCATACGCTGATTCACAGTAACGTATGCTCTTCAGCGTCCCAAATAGAATCCTTCTGCACAAGATTGCATCGAACTTGCTGCTTCGAGCCTCTTTCACTTGTTTGTGAGCGAAGGGATGCTCTTATAGGATGGGTAGCCATGCCAGGGAACTTCTTTCGCCTCGGGAAGGTTACTCGTGTACACAGCTAGAATTTAGTTCCAGGTTTACAATTGTACGCTGTGCAGCACCCCTTCATGAGCGTTTCTGGGTCCTGATGTGCTAATAAGCCTCTTTTTGAAGCCCAGGTCAATCGCGATAAAGTAATTCGAACGCTTACGTGTATGAGTTGTATTTCACAGGATCAGTGCAAATGAGCCAGCGAATCGACCATGTTGTCTTGAAAAGAAGGCTTACAAGCTTTGAGACCGTAATGGATGAGTCTAGAAAACAGTATACTCTGGATCTCATAATCCTATGTAGCGGAACTTGCTCCGTGCACTACGCAGATACAAACTTGTGCTACGGGGGAGCGCGAGCTAAATTCGTACGAAATTGTCCACCAATACTCATGAGTGGCACTGTAACGTGATGCAGCCAGTTTTGCGCCCAACGTTCTTAAGCGTCCCCTTGCAACTCGTGTTGTGTAAATCCACAGTAGATCCAGCAGGTCTAGGATGGGACCAGGGCAGCCGAGATAGGTACAGCTGAGACTTATGGCCTCTGCTACAAGGTCTTGAATGCCACAGTCCCTTTCCACACTATCTTTAGGTAAAACGTGTACTTAAGCACCCTTCAGGGAGAGAAATACTTATTAAAAGAACTGCCCGAGTTCACCTTATCACAGTCATTTGTGGCAGCGGCCCCGTAGTATAAATCTGAAACAGCTTCCTTTCCAATTTCAACGAGACAACGAACACTGCTATCTCGGGCGATGAAGCGCGTTTGCTTCAACCTGCCTGAAAGTCGAGAAATTCTTTGACTCATGCAGTAGAAATGCGATCTGGCGTTTCTAGTTTCTTAACCACTAATTTGTATCAGACATGGCATTGCACGTCTCTGCAGCTATCACTCTTTCCAGGTTGGCCTTACGCCTACCGAGATATCTAGAGGATGAGAAAAGTGCAGATGTCTTGTGGCTCGCACGCGAGCTAGATCTTTCCTCTCTAGGAACGCAGGTGAGCATCCAAAGGGACCAACCTTCGCAGGGAACTCCTCCACGCAAGCACCTGGGGTAAGCATGAGGAAAAATATTTGCTGACACGAACGGCTTCTCCTGCTTTGGCAAGAACCTAAAATATCTTCATCCAGCAAGCCCTGCCAGTGTTGTGCAACATCGGCAAGCGTCACTGAGGCTTTCTGTAGATGTCGTAACACTCTTCAGGTTCTGCATCATTGTGATAAAAAGTGTCTTCTGACGTGTAGTCCATTTCTTTTTGGCACGAACTTGCGGAGAAGACTGTTCTGACCTCATATTCCTTGAACTCCACTCACTAAGTGCTTTTACTCAAGTCGAATGTCCCGTGGATAATGCTCTCGAGAATGCACTAGGTCACCCATAATGCACAAACTTGCACCGGCCACTTTTTGCACACCCCTCCTGGCAGAGCTCGGCACGTTCACGTATTGCGGGTCCACGCTTGTCGCCGTTCTCGAGCATCGCCCTTCCATGGGAGCATGAAGCGTCAGCATTGCATTGCAAAGGCCCAGATACCCGCCTGTTCCCCTGTACATTCCCTCCTTAGCCGGAGAGCACTACGCACAACTTTTTATTATTGGGGGACAGGGTTGAGGGGATAAGGTGGTCGAACCATCATCTCCATTCTGCAGGCTTCGTGGTAACCCTCCAAACGTACTTGCCTTTGCGGAGACGCATGCTTGTTTCCAGAAATTTTCAGTGCTTCTGTGGTGGTTGGCTGCCAGCTCAGTTGACACTCGTCGGCTGAACGGATTCGTTTAATTACGTCAGAAAGGACAAGCCCACCGTACTTGTAGCTGTATCTCTGTCACTAACATCTTTTTGGCCCTGCCATGAAATAGGGGTTGTAACTTTTCTGAGAATCGGAGGTCGGTCCGTGAAACTCGCAAGCATTCTTCGTCGACGTATTGTATGCAAATGTCTCACAACTGGAGTTGGCTTGGCACTTCTGTTGGCATAACGTGGCAGTCTCTGCGGGCAAAACTTCAAGCAGCGCTGAGTTGTATTTGACTCCCCTCTGTACACAACTTGGAGCATTCAAGGCATAGAGCGGCTCGGCTCCACAGCCACCCTTAAAACCACTCCAAAAGCCTGGTGTACGTTTACCCACAGCAGTTTTTACCTCTCCAAAGAGATAGCATCCCCGAACACTCATGTGAAAGGTCCACCTCTGGCACTGCGAGTGCACTGAACACTCGTAGCGACAACGAGAAGCGTCTTCTACAGTCAATGTGGCAACTCTATCAATCATGTACTCAATGTCTTTTAGGAAGCAGCTCGTGTCACAGTACTTAGGCCCAGTTAAGTCTCCAGACTTAAAAAACTTCAAACTTGATCCTCGAACATTTTTGAGGAAGCATATTTGATCTTTTTGATTGTAGGTGAACCAGTTGCACCTGCTCTCCGAGAGACAGATTTCATTGCAGGCTTGTACAGTACCAACGCCTCGCTGCATTCGATAATCGTCACCAGTGGCGGAAACATTTTCGACTAGGCAAGACTGTGCATAGTTAGCTGTTTTTTTGCTCACTGAGCAGCTTCCCCTGAGCCCATTTACTGCGTCAGCGTCGGCTACCGTATTCCCAGCAATCCTATGAGAGAAACATTGTTTATCCGTCCGCTTCCATGTGAAGGCGCGGCACTCCGACTCTCCCTCACACATCGCCTGGCAGATATTCGGATTGGGGGCAAACCCCAGCGAAGTTCCATCATTATCGAACTTCTTGCCTTCCTGAAAGCACCCCGAGTCGCAAGACGGCACAACCAGTGTCGACAGGCCTTCCGAGAGCCACCGCAAGCTTTTCATCAGACTGCAGGTTGACGCGGACTCATCATAAGTGGCACCGACGCAATTCCTTGTCTGTGCGCACAGTTCCTGGCAATCATCTGCACTGGAAATACTGGAAAACTTGTCAGACACCTCCGACTTCCGCATGTCCACAAGAATGCCCATACCAGCGCATTCGTTTTGGGGTCCAACCTGAACGGCATAAGGCTTGGCCTCGTCCGACAAACTTTCAAATATAAAAACGAGATCACCGTCAACAGTCCGCATCCCGTGCACATAGCTATAAGATGTTCCCCATTGGGCTTCAATCATGGACTGCGCGTTGAATGATCGAGATCCATCTAGAGCAAGACGGTTCGGGGCCGTCCGTGCTTCCGTCCTTTCCTGGTTTGAAAGGGCTACGACGATGGCGGCCAGAACCGCTAGTTCCTTGAACTGCCTCATCGCGGGGGGCATAAGATTACGGCGGTGCACAGAAGATAAATACGTGAAGATATACCAACTATGCCTTTAGTTTATGCAAAAATACTGAGGGTTCGATTCGAATGGAATATAGCCGAAGCGAAAGGCTGCACTCAACTGTGTAGGCTGCTACACTTCGTTCACGCGGACAACGTACGGAGGTCACATGGATCGGTTCTGGACTTCGCGGCCTACAAAGGCTGTCATTCAGAGACCCGAGTGTAGTATGACCCCCACCACAGGAAAATGCAGTCGACTGATCGACGCTCACAGCTGAGATTGCGACAGTGTTCTACCGTTGTACGTCCGCATTCAGCACCAGCCGCTACTGTGAAGTAATGCAATTGAACTCTGAATATACGAGGTCTGTGGATATATGCAAAGCAGAGCCTGCTAAGATCCACTTCTGTACCAGCGTAAACAATGATCTGGGTGGACAGGAAGCGTTGTGGTAGCGCAGAGTGTGTCCTGCGGCGAAACGAGCAGGGGTCGCTGCTGGCATGGCTAGCTGCAAGTATCCGAACACGCACAGAGTACGGCACAATCATTTCTGTATTAGGCCAAATGATTCTGCCTTAATCAAGGAAAAGGTGTAGAGTTAGTAGCGGATCTGTTTCACTTGTCAAGAAACGGTGTAATCGCATCTCTACGTCCGTATACTTGGTGCAAGCCACTGTGCCTAGAGCCGTGCTCCTGTGCCGATAAGAATACTGGTATCATTGGGAGAGCATTCCACTCACTAGTTGCAATTTTCTCGACACAAATGCTTGGGGAAGGTACCTGTGAGTGGAAGGATGACTCTAGAGGCGACTCCAGAGCCTGTATGGCACAGCGGTGAACTTGCCTACTCTCCATTGAGTAGTTCAGATTTGCGTTAACCTCTTTGTATCACCCTCTGAACAGCTTATGCCTTCAAAAGGCTTTCCGTTGTACATATCAAGTGCTTCCAATGATTTTGGACGCTAAGACTGTCCATGGGTTCTACCATTCGTTTTTCAGTGTATATCATCAATTCCCCGGGCCCACACGAGCCGCAGCAAGGTATGCTATTGGTAACCCACTTTCCCTAGAAGCTCCAAAATTCGCTGTATGTCCTTCATGCTTTATTCTACGGAGATGATGAAAATGTGATTTGAGGCATGGCTAACGATCTGTACCAGAGGTCTCCGAGATCGAGCGAAGCTGCTATTCAAATTTTGTGCTTCACTAGTTGTGCTCAACTAGGAATTAATAGAGAACGGGCTCATCGGTTTGCTCTTTAGCATATTCTATGCGCTGCAGAGTACTGCTGCGAGTTCGATGTAAAAAAGCCGCAAATTTGTTTTCTAGTGTATGGCTCCCTCTGAGGAGTTCGCAAGGAGCTACATCCCTCCAGGCTTATTCCAAAATAAATGGAAAGCTGTTACGCTGCCTTTCCCTACCCGCTCCCCTCAAAGTCTTAAATATGAGCCGAGAGGAATGGCTAAGATGCGCGTAGCTGCACTCTCTACGCAATCCTGACATCCACTCTACATTGCAAATCGCATTTACTGCATTGGAAAACAGCATTTGTGTCTTGTTGTGCCGAACGAGCACTCTTCTGCATAAGCATGTGTGCCAGCAGATCAACTTATTGGTTAATTCTTTACATGCCGCTAGTTGGATGCAATTAGCGTAGCTGGAAGTGTTGAAGTGTAGTTTAGACCGCAGCACCCCAATTTTCAAACTTGCCATCATGATCCATACCCAACCCTCAAGACCAGCTGCTTGCAAGGTAGCGGAAGCGGTTCCTTCCGCTCGCCACTTCATAGGAGGAACGAACGAAAAAACCTGTGGGACTGGCAAGTAGTAAACTACTCAATACATTCATTGCTTTAGCTGCACTCTATGGAAATGCCCTGCCCTTGCCTCTGATTGCAATTTTTTACAACGGAACGAGGGCGCCCTTGTAGGGCTTTGTGTTGCATTTTGCCAGGAAGATAAATACGGCGAAAAAGCTATATGCTCATTGTGAAGTGTTGCCTTCCCTCAGGTAAGTCGACTGTGGTGTCGGGTGCCTATACAATCATAAATATTAAATTTTCCCAGTTTATACCGAATACAGCTATGAGCAGCCTGCACCATAGGCAGCGTGGGATTCTAGACATTGATACAAGCAAACGCTTTGGGAGTTTTTCACGCTGGGTGCTAGAAATGTCAGCAACAAGCACCACATAACAGTGCTGGGGTCGCAAGGACTACAAGCCCCCTAGAGACTCTGCTCAGTGCCACGTGTAGCCTGATATCTGTGTGGACAACACATTCCCGTACCAGCTGAAAGGGGTCCTTAAAAGACACAAGCCCTCAGCGGGAACCAGCACTTCGGTAGCTAAAGCTGATGATCTGCTGCTGAGCTCAAGTCAAGTGATGCGGTAAAAGCTGGCACAAGGGGTCCTGAGGGCAGTTCTCAGGGATTCCGTGGTCGATCATTAACGGTTTCGTCAGCCTATTCCCTTGGCAAGCAGCTCCCACTTCGCTGCTTGCTTGCCCCTTCACTTTAAACGGGAGGGCGCCATATTCCATGTGTTACCTTACCATATGCCGCACTAGAGGCTTTCAGACTCACTGGCACCCTGACCATGTACAAACCTCTGGGACTGGCGAAAAGTCGCTCCTCACATAACCCTACATATCCAGCCTCCGCAGCACCGCTTCTCGCAATGCCTAGTACATTAAGGCGCCACTGCTGGAAAGCGTGTTGAATTCTCCTCAAACATGCGAAGCTTGATGACTTCACACATAAGAAATGAATTTCGCCATCGAGTCTTATTGATTCCAACTAACAATGCATAGTACGCACTTTACAATTATGCATCAATCCATAGCTATTTCCTGTAAATTAGCTTGCTTCTAAAACCCATCGCAAAGCTCTACATGAGCCCCCTCATATCGTAGTACAACATTGCAACAAGAAGCAGGAGCAAAGACATTCTATTATCTGCAGTTAAAGCCCTGACTGTAGTGAAGAATTCCCTCTAACTTCCACCTCATTTAGGAAGAGTTTTACATAAAGTGACCCCCAAACAATCAAACGAGAAACAAGAAGTACATTGGGAATGGAACTATGCATAATTAAACAAGCGTGGAATCATGCTGCGGAAAGCGTCCCCCGGCATCCAGCAACCCTTCCTGTGGTCACCTACCTCCTCTCAACAACAGCTATTGCTGTATACCCTTCTCTGTGTGTAGCGGGCCTGTGGGCGCCTCCGTATGCGCTGTTTCCTGAAGGCCTTCGCCCTGAAACTCTATCTGTGTTGGGAGCAAACAACGAATTTTCCCTCTCCCGGAGAAGTGGCAAGAGCCCAAAACCTGCATCCCTTCTGAGGCTCGCGGTTGGGGAAAACTGATACCTTGATTTGCCTGGCTGCACTCATGCACGCTGTTCTAAGGCTTATCCAAATTTGGCTCGCTGCTTCCAATGCGAACTTTGAAGACGCAGCGTGCAGTTTTAGTTTGGGACACACTCTGCAAAGTACGACATCGATGATACTCAATAAGACGAAGGGGCTTTGGGGAGCTTGGGCTTGAGGAATCGAATTGCTCGTCTGTCCACAAGGCGAGTTCGTGCCCACCGCGCTAGCGCATGCGCCATCTGCACGTTTACGCTTGGAGTGTTTTTTGTAGATCGATTTCATCCGCCCACTTTAACGCGCTACTGCATGTACTTTTAACTTGTATGCGCCTATGTTCTTAGAGTCGCCTTTGTGAATTAGCAACTTGCAGCTGCAATTGAATTATTAGACTTTGTAATTCCGACCAAAGCATGCATTGAAATGTGATGGCAAGTAAATGGCAGCTCTTTAGCTGGGGGCACACTTCCAAAAGGAAAATTTTGAATGTTGCTTCGAAAGCCCAAACTCGTCCGTCCAGCTTTTCGTGCAGGCCATTGTGACTCTTCAGTGGAGCAGCGGTGGACAATGAAATGTGGTGTACCGTCCTGACACGACTACTGTCAAGGTTCTCAAGCTCCAGAGGAAGAGGTAGAATCAGAGACAGAATATGCGACAGCGTGTGCTGTACAAACGCAGTTAGACGCGTACAGGCCAGGGCCACAATGTCCATAGTTTAACAAGTTCAAAGAGCCTTGATACTTTAGCGTATTCTTTTACTCATTGCCTGCCGAACACGGCGAGACATCTTAAAGATAGCTTCCAATATCCATCACAGCCTACATCGCTCGTTGAGCGTTCCCTTTCGACCGAGTCTCAAATAATGAGCTTTACTGCATTACGGCAGCAAATATAGTAAACCATCTGTCATGCAGGTGAGAGCGTAGCACTGGAAACCAACGATCAATGCTCTACTACACTACAAAACTTCAACTCGTCACATATAATCCTTAGATCCAGGTGGGAACTCCCATAGCCAGAACCCGTGTCTATTGTTGGTCGAAAGTTTAATTCTTATTTGCAAAGTGATTGACAACCAACCAATTTACCCTTGAAACTGAGAAAGCTGCACATGAGGGACTCTGCTGTGAACACTGGCAGAGCACAAATTAAAAGATTTTGGGTGCCATTTTGTTTCTCTGCTGTGTATTTCTTTTTCTGCATATATACAGCTAACGCTCTGCTGCATGGCGCGTATACACAAAAGAGGGCTTCAGCGCATTGCAGACACCACCACTTTCCGGAAGCTTGTTTGATTTCTTCCGACTTAGTGTTTTCCGTTTGTTCTGGCCCCCCAACCCTGTATTGTTGATTGTATGAACCTGCTCGTTGCGTTTTTGTTGTTTACAAAGTAATCGGTTTGTTCATTTTGCACTCATTCCAGTCGGGCTATTCTACCTAAATGTATCGTTTTAGGAGTTGCTATTAATGTTCTGTGTAGGCAATCTAGTCCTGTTTCTACACTGTAGAAAGAGACTAAGGAAGTTGGGCAGCTCTGCGTGTACTTAAAAATAGAGGCGGCACTGTTGCATCTGCCAGGAACTCATCGATTGCTCTATGAGGATTTGAAGCAAATTAAGCATGTAAGTAAGCGCTGTAGGATCTGCTGCAATACAGCGTGTTTAAACCTGCAGGGTGAATCCTGAATTAATAAACACGTGTGACTCAGTGTCGTGAGTATGAAAATCACAAATATACAGCGAACCGCATGCAGTCAGCAAATCGCATCACAATGAGTCCATGTAAACGCACTCACTATCCCCAGAATGTTGCTCAAATGGGGAACTCGTATGAACTTGATTAAAAAGGAAGGCCTTCTGGGTGTGTCATGAGATTGAATACTGACAGTTCCTTTTAAATGTAATGCGGTCATTGTATTAGCTGCCACCCCTGACATAATTGACCTGAAGTTCCCAGAGTCACACAAAAGTCGTCTACTTTTAATCAGGCAACACCAGATTGTTCATATTCTTGTAGATTCTCCTTGAATCCACAGGGCGCGGACATATTTAGCGAATACAGTGTGGTTTGCCCTGAAAAAAGTTTTGCACTAGAAAAAGAAATTCGATGAGCACAAGAATGTGTGTGCACTTTTTATGGCTGCTCTGAAGCATGCAAAGCACTCCTAGTGTGCGGGTGTGCTGATGTCCTACTTTTAGCCAAGGAGGATCCTGCATCCAAGCACGCAGTTCTTCGCCCCGTTGCACAGTAACATTGCGGACACACTGAATTTAAACGACCTCAACGATGCACGCTTTATACACTATGCCACAGGCAATTGTATGTTTGCATTATTTGAAGATTGTATGCGGCCTGTGAAATCAAGAAGCAAGGTGACAGGTGCAGCCTCTATAAACGCCCCTCAACACGCAGCATCTGCTTTTAAAAAACCAACAAAGCCTCCATTGCACATACATGCAGCTGGTCGCGAATATGAAAACTTTCACG